CTGGGGAGCAAAGGTTGAAAGCCACAGAGTTTCAGTCTTACTTAATGGCCTCCAAGTCTGCCAAGCTTCTGCATTCCATGTCATTCAGTGAGGAGTCAATCTGTGAGGAGCTGCATGCAAGACATTGCCTCTTTCCAGAGCCATCTTGAATCAAGTTCATGTAATGTATGATTTATGTACATAAGCTTGTGTAGTAATCCTTAAACCTTCTGTTAATCATAATATATGTTTAGTGATATTAACTGTTCTGTTTTTCAGTTCAAATGAATCTAGCAAGTTAATTTATATTGTCAAGAAATTGTTCTAGTTCATCTCTTTGTTGTTTTTGGGATTGTTAGTGGTAAGTTGTAGAGAAACAGCAATGAGACGGGGTTTCAAGAAACATTCCAATTCATTTATTATTTCTTTGAATAGTTTGAAAACCATTATCAAGAATTGTTATGTATGTCATACCACTCAGACACTGTCACATTAGGCCATAATTTCAAACTGAGCTACCTGGCAAGTTTTGTGCTTCGGGAATGAATATACGTGTCCATTCAGGCACAACACATTTATTTGGGTTTCTGTAAATATTGCAAAGATTGATAATTAAAGTTGCTGTATTTCACAACAGTGCAGCATTTGCCGTTATATTCACTTTTAAACTGAAGCTCACGCACTTGGTTGAAAAGCAGCTTTGCTTGCGCCACCTGCTGTCTGTTAAATAAAACAGCAGTCACTTCACACTCCAAAAATAAATAATACTGCTAATGGAAACTGAACATAACAATTAAATATGAAATTGAATTTTTGCATTGTACATTACACAAGCAAGAAACTCAAAAATCTTGATCCCTACACAAAGATGTGTGGATGAGTGGTAGAAAATAGTCTATTACTGAAAAACATATTAAATATATTAGATTTTGTGTAGAGTGTGCAACAGAGTATTTAAAAATGCTGCATACGTGTAGTAGAAGTGGTCCAATAAAAATAAAAATAAACCTTTCTGTCCAAATTCAAGGCGTTATGTCTGATGCGAGTCCAACACAAATATAGTAGTTTCCTGAAAATGAACAGAAAAGAAACATATTGAGAAACATTTTAGTCCAAGGTCATTTTTTCATTTGTATACGATAAGTGTAAATAGCAGTATGAATGCAGATAGTTAAAACATTAACTATAAATGTATAATGGAATATTCTGAGCATGAGGAGAGTACCAATGAAAAGGACTTAGGAATTTATGTTTTTACATCTTCTAGGCAACGCACAGAAGTATTTAAAAAGGCTTGATAAAAAGTCATAATAGTCCCATTCCAAAATATTCTTAAAATGTTTAATTTGGTGATGGCTTCCTAAGATAAGGCAGGAATGTCTGATAATCCAGTTTGGTAATTAAACTGTAAGACTAGAGGTCATTATGCATGTTTTTTTAAAATGCTGGATTTGATTAGTAAAGCTGTTGGCTTTGTTGCAGCACGGCTGCATTTGACATCAAGCAGACAAAAGGGTTGTGAGTACATGGAAATGCAAACTGACAGCTTGAATGTGATAACTCTTGACCTTTAGCTTGCAAGTTTAAAAATCTGTCAGGTTTTTCAGCCCACTAATTGCCTTTTAAGTAGTGCTGCTCTGGAACTAGATAGTTAGTTTCATAAGAAATATGTCATTAGGTAAAATGGTTAATGTCAGTTTGTATCTGTTCAGATTCTTTTTTCCTTTCTCAAAGATATCAAATTCATCTTAGTCCTAGACAAAACTAGAGTCAGTATTTATAATGCTCAATGAAAAAACATGATAATGTCTCACCTAAAGATGAGTTTTGCAGATGGTGTTAGGTAAAGAATTGGAATAACTTCAATCTGTATTGTGATTTAAGTGTGGTAAAACAAAATTCATAATTATAATTTGTAGAAAACATTAATAGGTCCACTGGGGAAGCATAAGTGTGGTATTGTAAAATTTAAATGTGGTGAATATTTTACAATATAAATTCTGTTCCATTTCCCATTCATTTTAGAATGAAATATTAAAACTGCTATACCTACAGTATACTAATTCCACAGTTTACTGTCTCCATAATAACTTTATAAGTAAGACTTCATTGCAGTTCAATGTGGATATATGCAATGGCAAAGCTGATAAGTACATTAAAGCCAAAATAAAATGCTTCATGAAGGAAAAATGGTTAATTCTGCTTATTAATGAGCAAACTTGAAATCTTACAATGACATAAGGAAGAATGATTGTAAAGGTCCCTGTGCATGATCTTTCTGTCAGTCCTGATGTGCCTTTATTTCACACCATGTCACACTCATCAAGAAAAAACTTGCTAACAACATTTGCTATAGCTCATAGCAATGCAAAAAGGTAGAAGAAATATATGATGTCACCAAATTTCAATTAAGACCGCAATTAAATGGCAAATAACTATACAATTATATATTGGTGAAATATCAGTAGATTCCACTGCAGGCACAAAAACACATTGTAGTCTCTGTAGACCTTTAGTGGTGTTTTTTCCACTCTGATTAAAAATCTTTGGCGGGGAGAAACACTCACCATTTTAGAGTGTGTAACATAGTAGATGCAAGCTCCACAAGGAAGTGGATTTGGAGGAGCTGTTCCTGAAGACGAGAGTAAAGCTATTGCTTTAATATTCCTCAATTTATCAATTTTCCAACCTTTTCACCCGATTCAGGGTCACAGGAGCACATGCAGCAAGCGATGGGAGCAAGACGACACACACGCAGGATGGGACACCAGTCCATCCCAATGCACACATAGACAGAACCACTGAAACTAGTGCCATGGTGAGTATACTCAGACTAACACAGATAGCACCCCAAGTCGTGAGTTGTTAATAATACAGTCCTGCTTTAATATTTTAATGTTAAAATCTGAAATCCTCATACATTTTTATTAAAACTTTCTTTAAAATGGATCATTGTACAATGTACAAAAATGTCTGAAGTTTGGAATTAAAAGAATTCTTGTGAAGACAAATATTTGTATTTCATCCTGTGATCTACTAGCAAAATACAGTATGTAGGCTAAAGTATTAACGTTTTTTTGTTTTGTAAAGAATTCAGAATTTTAAAATAATGTGATTCTGGACATTTTATCATTTTCATCTACTTGTAATTTTGATGTTTATTGCTTATATTTACTGACACATTGCAGAATAGAAGCAGCTGGTAATCCCTTTAAATACTTACTGTAAGAATCCTACATTTATTTCATTCCACCACAAATGGCAAAGTGAGAATAACAAAAGCTGAAGTGCAAAGAAAGGAATTGATTAATTTTACAGTAATTTTACAGTTTACCCTTTTCAACTAGGAGTCTCTAGCCTTACACTAGTTATTCTTTTGCCTAGTATCTCACTATCACCCTGTATGATTATTACAGTATTAGAGAGCTAATTGCAAGGAATGAACCCTGTGTTGGTAACAAGATCACTGAGAAAGTAAACATTTCTAGGGGCAAGATTGAAAGACTAGCAAAAAGGTCAATAAGCCAAGAGTGAAACTAGGCAAAACGTATCCAAATCAAAGTCCAGAAGTCATGGTCCAAAAAAAGAAAGCCTAAAGTCTGAAAAACCAAGACATCATGTAGTTCTCAAAGTCTAACCCAATACTGAGCAAAGTTGGAACAGAGAGCAGAGTTTAAGTAGGTTGGAGGAGAGGTGTGGTTATGGGTTAAGGAGGTCTGATTAACCTACGCCACCCCAGAATGGATGAGGTATGTACTATTGGTTTGGGTGCCCTCTGGTGGTGGGATGCTGGTACTGGAACAATGATTTTTCTATACTGAAACATTTCTCCACCAATATTACCCTTTAAAGCCTAAAAATGCTTTATTTTTACATTGATTGGCATCTGTGGTTTTATCCCTGTTTACTGTCTTAAATGTAGCTGTTCATTTTAAAGATTTCTTTTGGGCACCAATACCCAGACTGCTTTTTCAGCACATACCTACAAGGTAAAACTCACATTCCATTTTAGTTCATATTGACATGTTGACATGACAGCCCCCTCATGGTTTCTATTTGCTTATAAACATCCTGATTAATCTTAGAATTCAAAGAAAATTGAAGAAGTCCCACTATGACACAATTGACATGACACAAGCTGTATTCAGTTCACACCTAATTTCATGCAGTTAATTTGGTTGTTTCTAAGCACCTTTATTATTTGCTGTTGTTGAATATTTAATTTCTTAAATCTTTAGGACTGTTTATTTGTTATATTTACTCCTGAATTCTACTTGACACAAAGCAACTTATATTTCACTGCCAGTCAGACTTAACAGTTTTCCAGGCTAATAATGAAGCAGATTTTCAGTCCAGATTTAAAAGCCAGTCAAGGGTCACCTCAGATGCATTTTGTTTGAAAAAATGTTTAAAAAGAACATGGATAGCACCTTATTTATCATGCTACTGGAACATATATTGTCTTTTAAATTAGGAAAAGTAAAAGAAAAGTAAAAGAAATGAATAATAAAAGAAAAAGAAGAAAAACAATCAGTTCCATTCCATGACTGCGATGCTGTTCCAGTAATGTACCTTAAAAACCAGACACTGTATATATCTTGTTATATAAGGTGTCAGACACTGAATATCCTACAATATATACAGTATGCAGTGTATGCATAGAATATTGTGTTCTACAAAGCCATTCTGAAGTATCTTCAGTGATGGAAAGAGATTGCAGTCCTTCTCTTGCCATCATTTCTCCTCTGGCCTGCTTTGAGAGTTAGTGTCCATGTAGAACATCCAGAGCTCGGATTCTGGTAATGGAAGGCTGTTGGCTCACATCCCAGGTGAGACACTGTAGTCGGACCCTTGCGCAATGCACGTCATCTCAGTTGTTCCAAAACAATTCCCCGCCTTATTAATGTACTGTAAGTTGCTCTAGGTAAACCCAAAATAAATACAGTACATGTACTGTAGATTTAAAGATGATGTGAAAAAATGTTATTTACACAGGGGTACAAAAAGACAATCAAATGACATTTATCTGTAAAAGGTAGTTTATTACTCAATAAAAAAAAAACATATGACATTGTCATGCTTGAGGCACTTATTGTTTCTTCAGCACATCCTCTCCTCTTGCACAGCTCTGCTACACTGAGGCCATGTCGTGTCCTAGAGGCCAATGAGCCAGCTGCAGCTGGTGTTCACTGTGCCCACAGTAATGAAGTGTGAGGCTACAGCTCGGTGTGGAGAAGCTTCTTAGCTTTCTTCATGTTTTCTTTCACTGAAAGTAAGAAGCAATGTCAGCCAAAATGGAGACACAAGTGTTGTACTGTACCAAGATTCAGTAATACTCTTTCCATGCACTCCAAAAAGAGCTTTTCATGTTGTGTATAGGGTTTAAATTATTATAAAACAATGATTTCATTGTTAAACAAATTGGATATAAAAGCATACATTTTGTTTTCAGTCTATTATTTGTACTACTCTAACAATATTTATCTAAATAGCCATTATTGTCTCTTACAACTATCTACAGTGTATATCTTAGAACAACTACTGTATACTAAAGGGTAACAAAAAAGAAAACAAAAATGTATTTAAAAATTAAGTAAAGCACCAATACTTTGATTTTTCTTTTATAATACATGAGATAAAAAGTTATTAGTGACAAAAAGTACAGTTCCGAAGAAGTTCGTCATGAAGAACATAGGCACTTACAGATATCAATATCATCAGGCTCATAAGTGTAGAGTCTGTTGCTATACTTCCCTGCTATGTCAGCTCTCACAGTCAGAGATGGGTCTGAGAATGAGATAAAATATTTCAATAAAGTAATTGTCATATTTTCCCCCAGAAGTATGGCATTATTAAGGCAGATACCACCTTACTACCTCCAAACCAGAGGGCTTTACAACATGTTGGAGTCATTGCAGCATACACATTTTGTGCAGCTTATACATTCCTTGTTTGCTATTATTCCTGCTAAAATGGCATTTCCTAAGTAAGGTAAGGCAAGGAGGCTGATGTCTGGTAATCTTCCAGCTTCTCTGACCTTCTCTAGACAATGTTTTGACACCCAGGAATTTTATTTAGAGTCACACAGTCCTCCTTTATCTTTTCTCTGGCAAGATGTTAATGTGTATCACTGCCTTTGCCACATGCACTACATCAAATACTTATGACGCACAACAACCTGCAGGATTCCACAAAAATGTGTCAACAGGTCATCTCTATTTTCTTTGAAATGAGTAGAATTTTCCCAAGGGGGATTTCTGTAGGAGTCCTTTGCAATCTAGGAATGTTAGAATGTCTGTAGGAATTTTAGAGTTAATGTACAGTATAGCAGTATTTGTTGTTGCTGCTGTTTTTATATGAGATGGTTTGTGAAATATTTGATTAATAATAATTCCTTGTATTTATACAGAGCTTTTTCAAAATATATACAAATAATATATATATATATTATACATACTGTTATTAACTTACCAACAAAGATAATTCTGGGAGCATAGTGGCCATCAGGCGCCAGATTCTTGTCTATGGTTTCATGCTGTGGATCGTTATATTAAGTATTCAGTCTGAGATATATACTCTTAGATACAAAACTCTAAAAAAATATTCCAGACAAATGAATAGTTAAAAACAAAACATGACTAATTTCTTAATTACAAATCAATAAAATCTCTATTATTCAAAACAAATAAATTGTACTGGTAAAGCTTTCCAAAGTAGAGGGACAAATAAAATTGAACTGCAGATATTCACATTGAATGACTTCAGTGCCACCATAGTATGTAGGATGATACAGAAAATCTGATACTAAAAATCTGAAAGTCTTTCACCACTGTTAATGAAGACAATAATCATTCTTAACGGGATTAATTGATTAAAGTTACTGGCTAATAATTGTCTCCAACTTACCACCAGATTAAGCATTACAAAGTCTTCTTGGGCCATTTTCTGCAGCTCAGTGTCAGCAGCAAACACCTTTTTAAGAGCTTAGACATACAAAGGGATAGATATATATAAATACATAGAGAATAATAAAAAATGGAAGACATGATGACTATGACATCATTTAAATCTTCTTATGCAAATAATATTTTTTTCATGAGGAAAGATCCAATGAAGAACTTTTAATTTAATCTAGTATTTTTAAGAATACACATATATACCTTGACTGTGCGGGCAGTCTTCTAGGTGGTGGATAACCATCAAGGGCTTCTGACTGAAAAAATAAAGATTTCAACAATGATCTCTATACAAGAAGTATATTGAAACTTCCATCCATTGTCTTAACCATTTTATCCAATACAGAGACACAGAGGCGCCGAAGCCTATCCAAGCAAACAACAGGTGCAAGGCAGGAATACACATTGGACAGGATACCAGTGAGGAAAAACATACAGACTCAAACACACTCACCAGGACCAATTTTCACAGAAACCAATTAACCCGTGTAGTGTGGTTTTGAAGTGTTGGAGGGAACCACAGCACCCAGAGGAAACCCATGCAATCACAAGATGAACATACAATCTCCACACAGATAGCACCCCAAGAATTGAACCCAAGGCCCCAGCACTGGGAGGCACCAATGCTGACCACTGCACCACCCTACTGCCCAAATTTTAAACTGATCATTTCTCATGTACGTCTTGCCTGCTTATAATTGTATCAGTGAAGTATGAATTTCCAACAAAGGGTTTTTAATATGAGGATAGGTAACACATGCAATGCAGCCCTGAAGATATACAAATTGCAAAGCTTTAATGCGTATTGTTTTGACACACCTACTGGGAAGGTATAACCTTAAGAGTTTGCTAGGACTGGTTATTTAAATGTGAATGAGCATTAGCTTTGGAAATCTATCCATAAAGTGTAGAGGATAATAAACCTTACCTTGTTCTAGATTTTGCTAAAGCTTCCTCATAGGTTTGGGTCCAGGTAATGTCATCTCCCCATCCTAAAATATCACACAGAAATTGATCATTATTATTAATAATGGGAATAGGAATATATCAGTTACAAATAGTTTTGTTATAAAGGTTCTGTAGACAAAACTAGAAAAATGAAGGTGTGTGTGGCTCAAGTATGGCCCCAGGTCTAATGAGGCTTTCCTGGGGTAAACACTAATATCCAGAGTACACACTGGATACAATTACCTTATTAATTAGTTTATTTGGCATTTGAAATCTTTATCCAAAGCAAACTCACCTTTGCAAACTCACATTTAAAGAGCAATCTGAGTGAAGGACCTTGTTACAAGGTATTACAGCAGCACCCTAACCATGATTTGAGATCCACAACCTTCCAGTTATGTGACCAGGGCTCTAACCAAAATCCATGCTGTAGTCATGACAATAATTGCAATTCCTAAACCGTAACCAGGCCTTCCGAGAGCTCAGATGAGGCCTGGGCCATTTCACATTGTGAGGCCCCCTCGTTGTTTGGGAAGAGGGGTAAAGAATGGCATGATGGGAAGATTAAGGTGGGCATTTTGAAACTCCTAAAGAATGGTATATTCAGCACTGAAAGGGGGGCATTTTGTCACAGCCATGGACTTTAGTCGGGAATCACAGCATATGGTAAAAGTTCCAAATTTGACTCAAGTCAAGAAACACAGCCAAAGGGTTCAAGTGGAGGACCATGCACCCTTGGCTGAGGTGAGGCCCCCCTGTGAGGCGAGGCCTGGGCCAAATGGCCCTGCTGGCTCCCCCTCTCGTAGGGCCTGACTGTAACCCACAAATTAGTAGAATAAGGCAAGCAAGCACATGATATTGTGACAAATATATTTTTAATTTGCAGTTATTTCCAGTTTTGGCCCTCAAGTAACAGTGTAGGGAAACAGACACAACTAACATGTATCTGTTAGCTGTGTCATGTCTGGAGCAACACCACAGTTCTATTCTTTGAAATTCTGTAGAGGCAAAGAGGTACATTACAAAATCACAGAATTAATTCAGAGAAGATAAAGAAACCAGGGAAAACTACCTGAAAAGGCCCAGGAATTATACCATTACCAGTAAAGAAATGGTTATTATTAATACTATTGATAGCAAAGGAGTGGAAGACTGTAGTCAGAGGGCCAAAGAAAGATTCAAGCTTTTGTTTTGCCTTTGCTTGGTCAGAAAACACAGTGCCTGTCTGTAAACAAAAAATAAAAGAGCAGTATGGTTTGTTCTCTCCTTGTCTGACTACTTTTGTGTACTTAGACCCCACCCATTTGAATGCACGGAGTTTCGATTTTGCCTGGGATTCCAAACCCTAATTATTCACACTATCCAAGATTTGTATTTCACAATGTTAGAAGAGCTGTACTTACCCCTGGAAAGGGTCTGAGGGACCTTTTTTGCTTTTCTTTGAGCAGATACATCCAGACTTGCTACAACAAGCAGGATACAAAGAACAGAGGAGCGACTCATAGTTCTGAAAAAGACAGATCTACTATTAATACATGTACTATTTCTTTTTCAACATTTTAAAATTTCACAATTAGCAGCATTTAATGGTCTCTGTTTATGGCACAGTCGAAACAATTTCGTGATGTACATGTACAGTAGATGCATTCTAGTTTTTTTCTAGATGTCTTCTGAAATAATTCTGTTTGGATTTTGAATCAAGATTTCAATTATTAACACACCCATTTTACTTTGAAATGATACTTTAGATTTTAGTGCTATATATACTTGTACTTAAAACTACTGTATAAAAATGAGTTTGATTTCAAATACAAAACTTTCCACTTTAAATAATATAGATTATAATCCTGCCTTTCATACAGTATTTTAACCTTTGTTGTGTACCATTACATTTTAAAGATGCTCCCGAGTTTGTCTTATAACACTTGAACCAGATATCAATGAATCATCAAATTGCCTAAGCCCTTGAAACCCTTTTGAAGCATATATTTCAGAATTTTAAAGACATCAGAAATATCAGTCCCATGTAATACTGCTTGCACTTCCACAATCTTGTCTTTTAGCATTCCTGTTTCAGGACTAACCTGTTCTAGGAGGAGATTCAACACAATTGTTTTAAGAGAGAATCTCTTCCTACTGTATTTCTAGCACAAAGTGTGAGCGTTTTACAAATGTAATACTTTAGTTTTCATTTTGTTATAATTGATCTCATATAATAGAATGACACAACAGTATTTGAGAAAAGTAAAAAATGTCCTTAAGTTGCATGTTTCCCCTTTACATCAGATCTGTCCACCCTCTAATGTTTTCCATCTATTTGTTTCTGTTTTGGTTTCCAATAGGGTTGGTTTATATTTTTCTATACTGACGTTTTGACAGCTACTGTATAGCAAATATAGAATTACTTTCCTGGGGGAATGTCACAGCAAAATTCTGAATTAGTGATGGTTTCTTTATCTCATGTGGACTAGCTTGATTTAGAACACATGTCTCCAGTTTGTGGGGATTACAAAGAGCTGTTATTTATTAAGTTTAACTCTTCTTCAATTTAATAATTCCCTTCTTTACTCAATTATTATTATTAATCACTTATTTATTTATTTTTTTGCTATATCTAATGCTGACAATTAGTCAAATATATTTGTAAAACCAATTCTATGATAATCCTGGTTGACTAGAGATGAGTAATACTGCTTTTAAGTATTCTACAAGAATATTTACCAAGCAGATAAATCTGTTTCAAAGATTGAACTTTTTCAATCACCTAGATACAGTACGAAAGAGCCAAGTTTCGTTCTTACCTGTTGCTGTCTTGAAATGTGAGTGAATGTTCGTTGAATTCTTACCTCACAAGCCTTCTTTTTATAGTCATCTAACTCATCTAACAGGTGTAGCAAAGCTTGAACGTCAGGCATAACAAACCAGGATATCCTTATCTTTGAAACACACTATTCAAACACGCCTCAGGGTAGGGAAGTACTTACAGTACATAAATGCTTATACTGCACCTTTAAACCCAATTTTAATCCCATTGATTTTAATCATAGGTGGAGAAAGGCTTCTTCATAATATATTTTTACTGTTCTGTATTTTTTTAACAGAAATGATTCAATCTTTTAATCTAAATTAAATTTTTTAAGTACCACTCATTTTAAACCTACCTGTGGTTGTAGGAAACCACAGGGAATGAATCTATGTTTTGAACCTAGTTTTGAACGCTGAAATTAAATTACATCTTTGGCATTCAGGTATTCAGGAAAATTAATGAGAAAGATCTAACTATCAATGTATTTAGTGACTTACTTTTTTATTAAAAACAATAATTTATTCAATGTTTTTTTCTCATTATTCATCTACATTTAAGAAGCAAAATATGATGACACAAACAAGATACTAGAAATTTTCATGAACCACAATAACAATACTTCTGAATTTTATGCTTGAAGACCTGTATTAAAGTACATCTTGGTACAGCACCAAAGTACAAGATGAGACTCACTCTGTAGTATATGTTTTACTTTTTTTATGGAATTATTGTCCTTTTGTAGCTAAGATTTTTTAAAAATCAATACCTGGTTTTAAGGTATGTTATTGATTAACTTTTTATTAAATCATTTCACTTTTATTCAATTTTGGCATGAAAGAGAGAGAAAAAGCAATCAACGTGCTTCTGTTTATTAACTGATTCCACTATTTCTATTTCTCACTTTTTTTTATTCCTGACGTCCTTGTGTTAACAAGCTAGTGATCTTTTGGCATTCGTTTTTTTGTAATTTATTATTTTAAAAACAAAAATATCATTATATACAGTACTTCATAACCCAGCATTTTTTCCATATTCCCATCCTGTTATGTGATTGAAAGCACGCCTAGACAAAACACAGTGCTACTTAGTGGTACACAGTTTCAGAAACCATAAATCTTTTTCAGAAAAAGCATTAAACAAAAAAGAAAGAAAATGTACAGCAAATAGAACAAAAAGTACACATTTCACGAAGAAAACGGTGTGTTTCATAATCCCCTGAATGCAACAAGACCTTAATTGCTTAGTATACCCTAACCACTCAGAGATGTGCACATCAGCTATAGCAAGCTCCCCAACTGTAAGCACGCTTTTCATCTGTTCCCTTGGGTGTGTCCAACCAAGTCATCTTGACGCACACCTGATAAAGACCTATTCAACTATATTCACCTACTGTATGTTCTTTTATTGAAACAATTTACTAAGTAGTATTATAAACTATATGCTATGAATGAACATTTTTATCACTGTGTCTTTCACAGGGTTTAACTATTTTCTAATCAATTTAAACTTAATAATAACAACATGTGCTTAAATTGGCATAGACCTTTTCCTTCCAAGAAATCCCGAGTGCTTTTCACAGAGAAGGGGCCCACTTCATCCATCACTGACCTGCACCACCCACCTGGGTGACACTTTGCTGCCCCTATGCGCAAACAGCCCCTGTACATAAAAGTGTTAATTTTTATGCAGCCATCTCACTTCACAGTTATTATGAATTAGGCACTTTATTTAATGAAAAATGATGTTTTCCGAGAATTTCAAATTCATTCATTCAATGAAAGCGTTCATTCTAGATTTTACTTCTGATATTACAGTAGGTGTTAAGTATTCTTTATTCATATGAAAATGAATTTAAAAATTATATGGGATCAGTAAAAGCAATAATCTAGTTATGAAGATTTCTAACTTCCTGGATCCCCGTACAGAAGAACAAACAAGCTTCCACACTTAATCATCTTAAAAGTGAAAGATAAACTAAATGGTTCACCAGACATTCCTGTTTCAGGGTATATCCTTGTTACTACCTTAAGAAACTCTTATGTTTAAAGTTAGGAGTGGCTGCAGGATCTCTGCATTAAAGCACATTAATGGTGATGTGCTGCTTACTTTCAAAGTAGTTTACATAAATTGCTTGAGGGGTTATTGAAGATTTTGTGTAGAGAAATTGGAGTAATGTTTCCATTGATGGAATCTAGAGAACATGAAGAAGTTTAATCTGTAAAGATTGCTCTTGTAAAAAGCACAGTTTTGTTAGAGTGAAATGGGGAGAGATAAATATCCAATGTGTAATTATGAACTGTTAAGTTATGTTTTTTTAAATGTTGGTTAACAAAGCAAATGAGAAAAAAAACCAAGGTGATTCTAATTCTATATAATTGTGGTTATAGTTGCAGTATATTTTTCTATAAAAGCTTTTTTTAGCTACTAATACTAAGGTTTTCACAAAAGAAAGAATACAGAACAAAATATTAGAACTTGAAATACATATTCTATACTGGACAATTAATGCGTCAATCATTTTTATACATTATATATGGGACTTTTTAGATTATAGATTTTAACTTGATATTGTTTAAGCTTTCTTCTATATAAATTTCCTTTACAAACATGCAAACTCATTAATTAGATGGGGGTAATTGATTGATTGATTGATTAGTTTTTAAAATGTTTTGAAAGAAAAATGCAAACAAGTTTCAAGTTTTAAAAATGGTTTCCTTATTTTCCATCTCATTCTTCACAGACACCTTTAGGTTACAGTTTATCTATACTTCCTAATTTTAGATAAAGGTACAAAAAACTATGGCTTTGTGTTAGTGCTAGAGCAATTATTTTACTTTAGAATTATTTACTTCAAACTTGGTTTTATTTCCTTTTCTGTTATTAATCTCCTACAGTACATTTTATATAAGGATTTTTGCTACATGAATAACAAAAACTCTTATCCCATATGGTAAAAATTCAAATGATGTCTATAACTCAGATTAAGGGGTGTTGATTTTTTTTCCTCATCAGGAATTCTTGATAACTTATTTGGCACAAGAACATATAAAGATCAAGTTCAAACTCATACAGGGATTTTGTCAGTGCTAACAGCTTTAGTTGTTCATTAACTTTCCATTACTGTAAATTCAGTGAAACGTTCTAGTAATAATTGAATTAAAACAGTGTTAAAACATTGATCAATAGCAATAACTTAAAAATAAGAATGAAATAAACCATGAACATTTAATTAATTTTTCAGCTATAAATGCCCTGCAGATATTTTGGTTTTTAGAAAAGGACCTCAAACGATCCAATTCTAAGAGCCTTTGGAATTCTTTGCATTTCAGTTGTTACTTGTTGCTAAGGATGCAAGCCTCGCTTGACAACCATACGTCACTTGCGCAGGCGCAGCTAGGTTTAGCGATGCATTGTGGGATCGGAAGATACCGACGTACTGAAAGCCCAGTGATTGCAGAATTTATGTGGTGAAGTGTTTCTTTCGGTTCGTCTTCACCTAAAGGACTTTTGTTTTGGCGTTTGTCTTGCTTTGCTGCTGCTATGAACGCGTCAGTGACCAAGAAGACCCAAGATACCTTGGGAAAAGTGATTAAGAAGCCGCCTCTTACTGAAAAACTGCTTAGTAAACCGCCGTTCCGCTACCTGCATGATATATTCACCGAGGTGAGAAACAGAACTGCAATGACTGACAACGGGAAAAATTGGATTTGTTGAAATATCCGTGGCTTGTTTGCAAGGAGGAGTTTCTCCGGTCTGTGTGTGTTTGTTTCGGAGTAGTGCATTTCAGTGGGACTAAGTTTGGGGTGAGGCTGTTCAGGAATAAAGAGTAGTAAAGGCTCAGCTGCAGAAAATTTAAAAAATGCAGTTAAGTTCTCTGATGTAACCTAAATAACTGTATTTTTTTAAAAAACGGACAATAGTCGGTTTCAGTGTAAATGCTGTAAAGGGTATGCGGTGAACACCTGAACTGTCTGAATGATGTAGAATCGAACTGGCGTCTTCTGGTTGCTAGGCACTGGTCTCTGCTCAAGTACACTAAACAATGCGAGGCCTTGATGAGTTATTTAAATACAGGACCGTAAAATACAAATATACCTCATCATTTTCTGCCCGGTGTTTGATTCCGTCACGCTACCCTTTATTTAAAAAAAAAAGTTTTCTATTCCATAGCAGTTGGTTTTAATCCCGTAATGTGTCCCCACAGAGGACACATTACATTAATCGCTGTCCTGCTGTGTCATGAAAATGGTAGCTAAATAATTTGTGCTGTTTTATTGTGCCAGTGTCGCTAATTAATATTACTGAGGTGTTAGCAAAACGATTATTTTACTTTGTGTCGCTCAAATCCAGTATATAATGATTACTGATAATTCAAACAATTTGGTCTAGCAAAGCATTATTTTATTAGGAGCAACATCTGTACAGAGATTAATGCTTTTACCCTTTACATCTTTCAAGAAATGGCTAGATAAATCCTTGAATGAATTAATTCTTTAATTAGCAAATGGGTTAGATGAACCAGAAGGACTTATATCGTTTGTAACTTTTCTTATGTCTAGCTGTTTCTTAAAAGCGCTCAATATTTTAACCTTAACCTGAAAAGGTTGTTCCACAAGCCAACAACATTTGTGTTAAGAAGTGTTTCTTGTTTTCCATTCTCAATGAATTCCCTGTGTCCTTATTTTAATACTGAGAAAGAATTTCCTGGCTTAACCCTTGACATTTTATATACAGCATTTTATAATTGCATCTTCTCTCAATCTCTGCTCCCTACATTATTGTATAATAAAGCCCTGATTGTAGGAATTATTCTTAGAAAGACTTTAAAAACTAAATGCAATTGTAAAGTGAGGTCCTTGTAGTGCATTTAAAAAAAATAAGTAGATATTTTCTTAAATTCTGCACTTTTTAATATAAAACCAAGGATTCAATTTGCTTTTTTATTGTTTTATCAACTTTGTTTTATTAAGGACATTGCTTAGAAGTGTCTACATTAAAAACCCCTTCATGTGTAGCTCCCGACAGTTCACCTGTATGATATACAGTATGTAGTATACGATCCTATTACTGTAGCAGTGTGAATAACTGCACTTATTTTAAATTTGATTTGCTGTGTATCTGTTTACCCCATGATTTTGTCTCTTCGTATTTCTTTTGCTACTGTGTCTATATTTGCTGCTCTCTCTGTTTTTGTATCATTGTTCATCAAGTTTATGGTCGTGATAATATTAAGTCTGCTTTGGTAGTACGTCATGGTAAAACTGTGCTACTGTTGTATTACCATGGCTAATTCTAAAATGTTCACAGGTTAATACGCGACTTGTGGTGTCTTCATATTTATGAATAATTAGCATCTTGCCAATCATTAAGGTCTTCAAATCATCATCATTCATCGTTAAATGATCACAAATGTCTTCCTGAAACTCTTTGCTATTTTTTGCTCTGTTTCACAATGTGGAACAGTGACCCTATCATTGTTTGAATTTGAGAAACAAAATCAGTGATGTTAATTGCGGAATATTTTAATTATTGAAAAATTACATGAGCAGGGGATTCAGAGAGCCTGTTCAAAGAGTTGCTTTGTTGCGTGATAGAAGTAAAGCCAGATGACTCGTCTTAAAAATAGCAGATTGAAGCAAGGCCCAGCTAAGATTATCCTGGGAGGCTGAGCTTGTATGAAGAACTTAAAAAATTAGGAATGACATTGTATGCAGCATACGTTAAGTGGGAAGAAGGAGATTATTGATCTGCCAAGAGTATAACATATAACGTATATTAGACACACTTGTGAACAATGCAGTTTACTTTTCAAGAACTGTAAAATGATGTATGCATGGAACACAGTCCCAGATTTTTGTTCTTGTTCTCAATCATCTGGATTTTAGAAAAATTTTTACCCTTTCCCTAAACAACATGTTTTGTATAGGCAGTCCCAGGCCTGTAGTCTGCATAGAACAGAGAACCTGTGGCATGTGCTGGTTATTTTGTGCACATTTGGTGACAAACGTGCTCAGTGTTTGTGACATTTTCAAACTTTTTTGGTAGGGTTAGGGGAGTCAAATGAAAGTAAACTCATGTAATATAAATTTGAAATTGTACATTTCAAATTACATAAGACAGTCCGCTAATAATATAACCTGTATGATCTTCAAAGCTTGATCTCTTTTATTATTTATTCATTCATTTGGTTTATAATCAATGATCCAAAATCCTAACATTCTGGAACCGGCTTCATTTTATAATTGGACAACTGTATCCATCCTGTTTTTCACAGGTAATAAGGACCACTGGGTTTATGAAAGGCCTTTATTCGGAGGTAGAAACGAAATCAGACAATGTCAAGGTAAGGTGGTCTTATTAACCTTAGCTTTCACATTAGTTCAGGAACATTATTAACAGAAATAAATTGCAGTTATCAGTACTTATTTATTCATTCAGAACACCCCCAAACTATTTTTATTGCATTAGATCTTTTCTTTAAATAAAGCAACTTCAGTGTAACTTATTTTATGCAGTGATTAAATGGGGAATAATAAAAAAGTCTGCACTAAAGGGAAAAACTGCTGTGGTAAGCGATCATGCCTGACATCAGTTGCAACATTCACAGCTAATGCATATTGCAGACTGAAACGTTATTAAATATTTAATATTATGAACACAACTGTAGAGGTTATAGAGTTCATAAATTGAATATAGAGTTCATGTGACATATTGTACTTAATGTGGCATATGCTCTGCTTTGACAGTTTATTAAATGTATGTAATTAATATGTAATTGAATTTTACTGCTTGCTGTAGTATTACATTTTTAAACATTCAAGAGACCGCACAGTATAATATTAATATCGAAATAAATCCAGAAGTTCATTGATCTCATATAACATTAAGCAATTTTCATTTGTATTACAAATGTAGCCAGAAATCTCGCATTTTTGGATCTGATTTGTTTCAAAACATTTGTGTGACTTTCAAAGATTTATTGGTAATAACTGTGCGATTACAGCATCAGGCAAAGAGTTTCTTTTACAGATGCCTGAATTCCCCTGAAGGTGACAAAAGTAGATTTCATGGTCTCATGATTGAGCCTGCCTCCAGCTTTAGCTGCAGTTGTTAGTTCAAAAGAGGTGCCATTGACAGTTGAAGCGATCTTGCGAGTTTTAGATTTTGTGAATGGGATACTGTGTTGTATTTTTATGTGCTGTTGATGAAGTCAGGGTTAGGATGAAGTGAACTTTCCTCAGACTAAGTAATTACCAGGCGTACCAGTGCTTTCACACCTGATCCAGTTACTCCATTTTGAAGTCCAATGGATACAGATTGCAGCCTGATGCCTAGCATTCATAATGTATGAATCTCCAACACCCATGAAAGTGACATGAGCATGATAATTGTAACATGCTGACACTAGACTTTTAAGTGCTTGTTGCTTAGTCAGGTTTTTTGAGTGAATCTAAATTTGAAAGATTCTGCTGTGTTTTAGAGAACTATATTTAGAATCATGCTTTTAAGTTAATGAAAAACATGGGGTGAAGACTTTGTCTTTCCCTGATTTTTTTTCTCCCATTTTTAATATAATTTTTGAAAGTTGATGACTGTTGTTGGTTTGACTTTAAGCTATATGTAAAGTTTTGACTAACAAAAGTGAAAAATAATAATGAATGATTGAGAAGAGAACTATCAAGGACCTTCACATCTTCAAATGTCTGCATCAGATTTAAATATAAGATTCCGCAGATCTAATCTGCTTATAGTTACAGCAGTATTTCAAGAATAGGTTCATATTTGCTTTTGGTACTTCTATTGCCAACATTACTTTTACTATAATAAAGAATGTTGTTTGTAGATGCTAATTTCTTCTAAACTAATTCTAACCATCTGCTTTTGCAGGATAAAGATAGTAAGATTGTATTTCTTCAAAAGGCAATCGATGTGGTTATAATGGTGACGGGAGAGCCTCTTTCTGTGAAGCCTGCACGTATTGTGGCAGGACACGAACCAGAGAAAACTAATGAGCTGCTTCAGGCCATTGGAAAGTGCTGCCTCAATAAGGTCAGTTTGAGCTGATGAGCTAAATATAACTTACATTTTGTAGGAGATAGTGTCTCTGGTAGTTGGTTGGGTAAGATCATGTACAGTACACAGTTATTGGCATCCCATCCAGGGTATTTCCTTGTGCCTGTTGCTTGCATAGGATAGGCTTTAACTCAGTCCTGTATTAGATAAAACAGTTAGAAAATTCCTGTTCAGTGATTCCTTGTGTTATTATTAGGTGTCCAAAACATTTTTTACTGTATAAAATATTTTGTCTGTTTGATTTAAAGAGTGTAACGGCAAAGGTAGGATTTTAAGTTTGGACAATATTCTAAAGTTGGAGAAATGTATTGAGGGCATACTTCGTTAAAGTATTTGATTTAGGTATTGTGACTTAAAAAAGAAACTTAAATTGGCCAACATTTACTGTCCCATGAAACATATCTGTTAGCTTTTATAGAATAATAGGGCTCAAATCCAGCCAATTAAGATCATGGTAAAATTTCCAAAAATATAATTTACATAGTGGTTAAATTTAGTTGTACTCTTGAGGGTGAATGAAAAAAACAGTTCCAACTCCCAGATTAGCAGAGCACACTGTTTTTCATCTGTATTCTCTATTACTTTTATCTGTGTCACTTCATATACTATACCAGAGGTCTTTATCATTCTTAAATCATTTAATCATTTAGTTTAGTTAGATTACAATATCCATTAGTAAGTTAAATAAGCACACATGTATTGTATTTGCTAATGTATTAACCAGGGCTCTATAGTAAAGAAGTTATAAAACAAATACTAAGTACACAATTTGATGCCAATGTTAAGAAACTGAGAAAACAAACCTCTTGGTAAATAATCTTTCAGTGTGTAATGTAAATAATACATCCAGTACTGTATATTCACCCTATTCTTATAAGAAGAACCTTAATGCTATCAGACAATGCAGTCAAAGTAAAAAAGCAAATGCATGTTTATTAAACAAGGCAGAAGTTATTGTAGTAAGTGGTGCCATCATGCTGTTGCTTCTTAAATATGATCAGGAGGAGTAGATATTAACTTAAAATAATGAGAAAAGCATAGTTAATATATTGAAATCTAAAATGGTATTTATAGTGTTATCTCAGGTAGTGTTTATGTTACCAAACTTTACAGGATTTTATTCTTTTGTCCTCTCAGTTTAGGGTACAGCTATGATTTATGAGAAGTTAAATGTATGGAACACAGTTGGTAGTGTTTACAGTTGCAAAATATTCCTCAATATGTTCTCCTGTCCTCTTATTCTGGATTATTTGTGCAACAATAAATGTCCTTAATTTGTAGAAACCTAGAGACCATGCTGCCTTCAGTTAGTAAATCAAATGATTCATCTAGTCATGCAAAGCCTACAGTAGGTGTTCAAAGAACATTACTTGTAGTGCCTCCTAGGGATGCTAGTCCTTGTTCTTTATTCATATCTTTGACAATACATTTGTCAAATTAAAAATAACACAATCTACTGTACAATGAAATAAAATTATCTAGTTTTTGTTCACTAATTATTTATCATACTTTTCCACGCATGTATTATCTGCTCATTTACTAGTTGTCTAGTGAAGATGCTGTGAAAAAAGTGCTTGCTGGTGAGAAGCCTGACCTCAAAGGAAAGCCTTCCACATCAAAATCTCAGGACAAGGAGAACAGAGAGAGCAAGGAAGAAGACAAGAAGCGACACAGAGAAAAGGAGGTATTTCTGATGTTGCACTTTTATACATTTTATACATAATTACAGGTAATTAGGAATAGAGAACATGGGATCACATGCAATGACCACATGACTGTTGTTATTATATATATATTATAAAAAATAATTTGCCTTAAGCTTTGTAACTCAAAGTGAGATTCCTAATTAGTACTTCAAGTGCTATCATGTTACAATGTTACAGTTTAAAGGATGTATAATAATGTTTGAAAACACTACAGTTGAATTCTACAACTAATAATTCCTTACACTTATACAGTACTTTTCTGGACACTCCATTCAAAGTGCTTTACAGGTAATGGGGACTTTCCTCAACTACCACCAATGTGCAGCATCCACCTGGATGATGTAACGGCAGCCACAGTGCGCCAGCGCGCTCACCACACATCAGCTATTAGTGGGGAGAGAGTACAGAGTGATGAAGCCAACTCATACATGGGGATTATTAGGAGGCCATGATTGGTAAAAGCCAGGGGGGAAATGTGGCCAGGACACCCCTGCTCTTTTAAAAAAAAAAACAACAGGATTTGTAATGAGCACAGAGAGTCAGGATCTTAGTTTTAGTCCTTGGTTTAATCTCCATTCGAAGGATTGTGCCTTTTTTTACAGTATAGTGTCCCCATCACTATACTGGTGCATTAGGACACACACAGCCCGCAGGCTGAGCGCTTTCTACAGGTCCTACTAATTCCTCCTCCAGCAGCAACCTTAGCTTTTCCTCAAGGTCTGCATTCCCAGTTGTGAGCTGCAGGGTGATATGGCTGCTGGCTATAATCTGAATCATATTAAAATCTGTTTATTTTTTAGTTCATGTTATGTTGATGCCCTGGGAGAATTTATGTAATTAGTCACAATGTGTAAAATGTGTTGTTTTAGTACATTAACATTAAATATAATGTTAATGTGAATATGTTCAGGTGAATTGCAAGTTATGTTTACTTTACCTGGTTGAGCTACAAAATGTTTGCTGTGATCATTGTACTGGAAAGGGTCTGAGATAAATGTCTCGATGGGGGGGGGGGAGAAGATAGGAGAGAAAAAAAGATGGAGAGCGTCTTACATGGGAGCACTGTGGAGAAATCATTAGTACTTTAACTGACACCATGTTTTGCAAAGTGTAGTGATGTCAAATAATTATTTTCTAATGTGGATAGACTCTCTATTTAATTAATTTGCTTTGAAGTGAACACTACTCATTCTGTAAGAACCTAGTTGATAATGATTCTAATTGATCGCTTTATACATATGTATCTGTACACCTTGGGGAAGAAAATTAAATGCATCTAAATATGTTTTATTTAATAATTAATGAAATGATTTTTGTTTACTTAAACTCTAAAAAGCAGTGCTTTTTAGGTAGCATAAAAGTACTGTTTATTTTTCTTGCAGGAGAAAAGGGATACTGAAATCAAAGACCGAAGCACAAGCAGAGACCGAAAGGACACAGATAAGACAAAAGAGCAAGACAGTAGAAAGATAGAGAAGGACAGACACAAGGAGGGCACGCATCAGGAAAAAGGTCAAGAGCGTGATAGGACGAAGGACCGGGACAAAGACAAAACACGAGACAGGGACAAAGACAAAAGCAGAGAGAAGGACAGAGACAAAGCCAAGGAGAGGGATGTCCAGAAAGAGAAGGATAGGGAAGCAGAGAAAAGGAGAGATCGAGACAAGGAGAGAAACCTTGAGAAAGCAGAAAGGAAGGTAATATTTATGTAGACAAATTTCTTCAAATAATTGTATCCCTGAGCATCACAATCAGATTTTAATTCCAAGAAACAATATTTTAATTAAGGTTTTAAAACCAAAGCAAACTAATAAATAGCATTACAGTTTTATAAAATAAACCAAAAAAGACAGTTTATTTTGGTTTTATTATTAAGTGTTATTAAAGTATTAGCCTAAGCAAGCAATGCAGTATATGAAACAAGTAAAAGGATTCAAATATTAAAATGAATTCACGCTGAAACATGAAACTGCTCAACATAGTGAACATAATCCATGTATTTATACTCCAAATGGATTCTGTGCAATGCAGTAAAGAACCCCTTCAGTTGATTTCAAAATATGAAATGAGTAAACTAAATTTGATTTCTTTTGTATGTAGTCAAGAGGGCCAGATGAGACACAGAACAGAAAAACATCTGAACAATCAATAAAAAACATCAGAGCGGAGGGGGACGAGGTAAGTGTTGTGATCCTTCTTTGCTGCTGCACATGAGAAGATTAAATGAATATTTATGCACAGGATAGACAGTTCTTTGTGAGGTTTGTCTCTTTGTAAGTGCATTTGTAAGCTTTCTATTTCATTTTTTCAAAACCTAAATGCAACTTTTAGAAATGTGATAATCAAATACACCAAAGGCAGCTGCTATGAAAATTGGTGATACAATTTAGAACACTAAAGTAATGTAATGCTAGGGGATTTTTTTTGAATAGTTAGCTATTAACCAATTGATTAAGCTTCTTAATTTTTTGTTCTATTTATCTAAATTTTCAAAACAGTGAAAGGCTAGTATGTAGGCTAATGCAAAACCTTAACGTAAAGATGTGTGTTAATTTTGCATAGGTTAAGCCTAATGGGGCTTTCACAATTGGATTGTTGTCAGTTATGAAAATCAGACCTCAAATGAGTGGAATGGTTAGTTTGTCAAATCACAGTCCCTATTCATCAACACCGGATTCTTCAAATCTTAGAATAAGGCAACACAATTGAAAATGCACAGTTAAGATACAAAATACAAAGTACAAAATACCACTGAGATACATTACTACTAATAATAATAGTTAGACCATTATTTTATACTATTTGTAATTTAATGGTTATATTATGCACGTTTCCTTATCGTGTCTTGAAAAGTATTTAGACCCTACCTATGGTGTCACATTTTTTAAAATGACAATATAATGCATAAAGATTTTTTTTAATTAATAGGCTATTCAAAATCTAAATGCTCAGACTGAAGTCTTTGAAGGGTAAGATACATTATAGTTAATGTAAGCCAGAACTGAAAAGCAAATACTGAAATGTGTTGATTGCATAACTATTCAGAACTGTAAACTCGATATTTGGTATTAGTGGTTTTGGCAGCAATAACTGCCTTATGGCTTTTTGCTTAAGTACGGTATCTACCAAATTTGCACACTGTCCTCCACTGTCCTGGTGCACTTTTTGCCCATTATTCTTGGCAGATTTGTTCCATCTCCCTCAGGTTGCTTGATGATTTCTTATACACTAAGTTTTAAAGTGAAGACCTTTGACTGGCCCACTCAAGAACTTTCAACTTCTCATTCTTAAACCACTACAGTGTTTGAGCTTGTGCTTTGTAATGTCATGCTGAAAGTTGCGTTTTTGTCCCATTTGTTGCTCCGTAGTAGGTTTTCTACCGCTTTGCTCCATCTATGAGATGCTTCCCGGTCCCTGGTGATGAGAAGCATAGTTATAACATAGTTGACAGTAGGGATGTGTTTTCCGATAGTTTGCATCAGATGCAGCACTTTTACATTTAGACCCTAAAGTTCCATTTTTATTTCACTATACCTTTTGCCACATATTTCCAGTATTGCTTAGGTGTGGGATTTGAGGTGTTTTTTTTTTTCAATTCCATATGAGTCCTCTTTTAGGAGTAAATGGGATATTGTTGACCCATGGACATTTCCCTCCCATCTCTGTTGCTGAACTCTATAACTCTTTTAAAGATGGCCTCATGGTGGCACCCTTAATCTGTTTACTCCTTGTCCAGCTTTTCAGATTGGAGAGGCAGCCCCATCTAGGCACAGTCTGGTGACCTTGATTTTCTTAATGATCAACTTACTAAATTATTGATAAAAAATATTAAGGGTCTTATTTTAAATATAAAATGATTTTATATCCTTCTTCTGATTTGTGTCTTTATCCCTGAGTTGTTTTGAAAGGTCCGTGGCCTCCATGTTTCAATCTTTGTTTTAAATGCATTACCTGATTGATGGACCTTACAGGGACAGATACTAAATTAACTGTGTGACTCTTTGAGGTAGTTTTGTGCACTTTATTTTTGCCAGAGCAAAAGGTTTCGCATCCTTTTGCAAGTATTTTGTTCATAGTTATGAAAACGTGCGAGTGCGAGTGCGAGTGCGAGTGCGAGTGCGAGTGCGAGTGCGAGTGCGAGTGCGAGTGCGAGTGCGAGTGCGAGTGCGAGTGCGAGT